GGACCCAATTCTTACTAATAGAGAAGAAGTGATAGAGGGAGTTGAAGTTTCCAGAACCCTAGGAAAGAGCGACCATGTCATACTGCAATTCAATATAATGCAAGCATAAGCAATAGAATATGATCTAACCAGTTTCTTAAAGTTTAAAAGAGCTGATTTAAACAAACTCAGACCCTAAGAAAAATCCCATGTATAAAAATCCTAAAGTAAAAAACAACTCAAGAAGCATGGGAAACACTAAAAATATTATCATAAAAGCCCAGTCCAACACAATGCCACTGAAAAAGAAAAACAAGAAATCCAAGAAGAAACCAGCATAGTTGCACAAAGATCTCTGATAAATTGAAAGACAAAAAAGATAAGTTCAAAAAATGGAAAGAGGGACACATAACTAAAGCAGAATATCAGCAGATAGTCTGAATCTGCAAAGAAGAAGTCAGTAAAGCAAAGGCTCAGAATGAACAAAGAAACAAAAGTCAAAAGATAATTTTAAAAAAGTTTCTTTCAACACACAAATAACAAGGAAAAAGTCAAGAAAACAGTCAGTCTATTAAAGAATGAAGATGGCAAGAAAGTAACAGGCAGAGAGAAAGCAGAGCTGCTGAGTGCTTAATTCATTCTTTGCATCAGTCTTCAGACAAAAAGAAACTATAACCCAACTATCAAAAACATAATTGTAAAAGCAGGGGTGGGATTCAACCAGTGTTACTACCAGTTCAGTGACTACGTTTTGCGTAGTCATCCCAGAAGACAACCTCAAGAACCAAAAAGATCTTGACACACTTGAACAATAAGCCCTATCCAATATAATGAAATTTAATGTGGAGAAAAGTAAGGTTTTACACCTGGGCAGAAAAAATCAAAGGTACAAGTACAGATTAAGTGAAATCTGACTCAAAAACAGTAAGTGTGAGGCGGACCTTGGACTCCTAGTAGACAAACACTGAAACATGAGTCAGTAGTATGTGGCAGCAGCCAAAAGAGTGAATACAATCCTTGGTTGTATAAACAGAGGCATAGAATCAAAATCATGTGAGGTATTAGTACCACTTTATGAATCCTTAGTAAGACCACTCCCGGAATACTGCATCCAGTTTTGGTCACCACATTACAAAAAAGATGTTGAGACTTTGGAAAAAGTGCAACTAAGAACAGCAACTAAGATGATTAAATGTCTGGAGACTAAGACATATGAAGAATGGCTGCAGGATTTGGGTTTGACTAGTCTAGGAAAAGAAAGACTAGGGGGGATATGATAGCAGTATTCCAGTATTTGAGAGGCTGCCGCAAAGAGGAGGGGGTCAATTTATTTTCCAAAGCACCAGAGGGCAGGACAAGAAACAATGGATGGAAATTAATCAAGGAGACAAACTTCCTAACAGTGAGGACTAGTAGAATTAACTAGTATTAACTAGTAGAATTAACTAGTAATTAACTAGTAGAACAGCTTGCCTTCAGAAGTTGTAGGTGCTTATCACTGGAGGTTTTTAAGAAGTGACGGGACAGCCACTTGTCTGAAATGGTATAGGACCATGTTGGCGAACCTATGCCACATGTGCCGGAAGTAGCATGCAGAGCCATTTCCCCTGGCATGAGAGAGGTCTCCTGGAAGAGCCTCATTGCACATGCCACCACCCAACAGCTGATTGTCAGGTATCTGGCGCGCATATGCAGGGGTGGAGGGGAGGTGCACGGGAGACATGCACGCATGACAGGGCCATGCTGCGCATGAGGAGATTGTGCACGCATGCGCAGGGGGCAGGGGTGGGATTCTACCAGTTCGCACCTATTCACTAGAACCAGTTGTTAACATTCTAAGCAGTTCAGAGAACCGTTGTTAGAAGAAATTACTGGTCTAATCCTGTAAGGAAGGCAGGAAGAAAACATTCTGGTGTTGCTTACAGAAACTACCTCTCCGTTAACCCTTATTACATGGCAGGACTAGACTTCCTGTCACTGGAACTTCTCTGGAGATTTTTTTTCCCTCCTTTGCTGATACTTTGCTTGTGTGGAGTGACCATTCAAAGTTACAATGGCACTAAAAAAAGTGACTTATGACCATTTTTCACAATTACGACTGTTGCAGCATCCCCACAGTCATGAGAGGCCAGGGGAGGAGATGCGTGCCTCGATGTGAGTGATGTTGAGTTGGCCACGCCCAACCAGTAACATAACCACCAAGCCATGTCCACCAAGTCACATGACCACCAAGCCATGCCCACCACCTAAGTCACACACACAGAACCGGTTGTTAAAACATTTGAATCCCACCCCTGGCAGGGGGCAGGGGGGCCCCAGCACGCACTGCCTTCTGGATGCTGGCATGCGAGCACGCGCAAGTGAGTGCACACGCAATTATCAGCACGGGAGCCGAAAAAGGTTAGCTACCACTGCTATCGGGTCTTCTGCTTGAACAAGGCACTGGACTAGAAGATCTCCAAGGTCCCTTCCAGCTCTATTCTGATTCTGATTCTGATTCTGAAAGAGCTATGCCAAGCCC